TCCTGCCCTCATCTCTTCCAGGTGGGAACGCGCGAGCCGGCCTGTGCCGTCCTACATACTTGAAGCGACGTATTTATGACGTGCGTCGCTGCACTGTTGGTGTTTTTGCCGGCTTAATGCCACGTTGTGCGTCGGTGTAAAGTGCACATGGGTGGCGATGTACCTCGTCTCTTGATTAGTGCGTTTCCTGAAGCAATGTGCAGTCCGTGAGATATGTCAAAGTGGCGATGTCAGTGGGGTGTGTGTGGGGGGGTGTGGGGGTGTGGTGGGGGTGGGGAAAAGGGGGGTGTGGTGTGGTGCTGGCGGTCGCCCTTGATTTCCAATTTTGCCAATTCCACGAGGAACTCATGAGTTCCTTGATCAAGGATCCTTTGTCTTGCCTGGCCTGCAGATCAGCCTTCCCGAGAGCGGAGCGAGGCTGTTGATGGGAAGTAGCGGGCTCTGGGACATGGTTGAATGGGCTGAGGCCGTGGAAGCTATTCGCTGGACTCCGATCAAGAGCGCAGCGTCAAAGCTGATTGACCATGCTATACGTGACAGGAACTGGGCGGTGAGCCAGGACAGCAGCGCCTTGGTGGTGGACATACTTCCCCCCAAGTGCGGCGACTTCCCAAAGATAGTTAAGGGGAAATTGATGAGGGCTCTGGCGAACAATAGACAGCCGCTCTCTCTGTGCAACATCCGAGGATATATTTGCAACATAAGGAAGAATCACAGCAAAGCTGCGCAAAACGCAAAGTCCGACGATATGCAGGTGGTCGCCAACGTCGATGGCCTGGTTTTCATCAATGCGGATTTCGTAGCGCGCAAAGCCGCCATGCCACCCGGCGATTGGCTCCCGGGATGCCCAGTGCCCTCCAGACGTAGAGGCACTGAGTGGAGGCCTGGCAAACTGGTACATTCTCAGCGGGTATTCGACATCACAGGGTTTCCGGCGGGAGACAGCCTGATCTCACCGAAGTCCAATAATAGGGGCTCCAGCATAGCCTGCTCTTCCAACTGGGGCAGCTGCAGCAAATGTCGGTTCCGGGGAACGCCAAGAGAATCAGAGGAATCGTACATCAATGTCGACTTGATGCGCGAGCCCCAATTCGGCCACTGTGAGGACACCGCAGCGCAGAGAACCAATTCTCAGACCAGCAGAACCGTTCAAATGCTGCCGGAGGAAGGGTGGAAAGTCAGAAATGTCCAGAAGAGGACATCCTCGCCGAACAGCCTTGAAACTCCTCGGAAGGCTCTGAATCTGAGGGATAGCGGAAAATTGCCGCCTTTCGGGACGTTCCAGTTACTGTCCTCCGATGACCTCATGGATGAGTCAGCAGCGGCTTCAAGCAAGTTGAGATCTTGGCCCAGCCCTGAAGTGCTGGTCTCGGGGCGTGTGTGCAACAGGCACCTCAAGCACCTGCAAATTCAATGTGAAATGTCAGAAAGCCCATCTGGGGGGGAAGGAAGTCGCGGAAATTCGCCGGAAGCGTCGTTGTCAGGGTGGGCCAGTACCTGAGCACATCAGTGCTTGTGCTTCCCTCAAAACGCTCTTTGATGGCTCGGATCATTGACATGGAAACTGTGCGGACTTGCGCCAACGGCTCAGCCGGATCCTATGGGGGCAAGAGGATCCATGGGTTCAACTTGTCGGAGAAGAAGCGCTGCAGGCTAATTAGATGATGGCGCTGTTTCTTGAGCCATCTGCATGAAACAATGGGTGGAGGTCTTCGGCTGATGCTGGGAATTATTTCTCCCGGAATCAAGTACCCTGGGAGCAGCTGAATGAGCTTTGGATGCCACATTTCCATCAGAGACTTGGATCTAGGGCGAGCCGCAAGGTTTGCAGGTAGGTGTGGAATCAGGGCAAGTTTCCTGACCGGCAAGGCAAAAGAGGGTGAATTCATATACAGCGCGATGGTGTTGCAATTCATCTGCGGCCCTTTTGTCTCATAAAAGGACCTGTAGTGCAAGTTAAATTTATGTGTGCATTTTTTTTTGGGCATGGAGCCTTTGAAGGTCCCTCGGTTGGTGCACACGTGAGTAGACGGTGTGAGCATGATTTCCATGGGTGTGGCAAATAATGCCGAAGGAGCAAAAGGGCGTCCGGTTGAGTTCGGTTTTCAGTTTATGTCAGTGGATGCGAAAGTTCTTTGACATCAATCGCTCCTAGAGAGTGAAACGCCACTAATGTGAAAAAAGTGCCGATAGGCGGCGTGGTCATGAAGTGAAGCCGCACAAGGGCAGCCCACTTGTAGCAACAAAGAATTTGTATTTCAAGTCAATGTGTATGCGCATTGTTGACTGGATAGAGTCCTGTTGGACCCGTTTGTTGACTGCAAGCCCTCTTTATTGAAGGGCATGATCTCGGAGGGGTGTGGCAAGTAATGTCCAGGAAATGAACGGGGCTCGATCTCAGTTCCTTTACATTTGTATTTGATATCGGTGGATGGTTCTTTTGTGTCCATCGTTGTTGTTTGGGTGTGAGGTGCCACTGGCGAAAGGATAATGCCACCAAGCTGTTTTTAGCTATTTGCAATTGATAACAGTGACGATAGGGATTTGTCTACGGGCGGCGAAAGTATGAGGTGTTGCTGCGTAAAGGAAATTCGCTGTGGTGTTGGAGCTGATAGCCAGACTGTACCAAATGTATAAAGTTGTTTTGGCTATGTTCGTCGACATTTGGCTTTCAGCGTCCGACTCCCTTTTACATTCAATGGTGGGCGAGAATGAAACTTCGTGTGCGGTGTACCTGCGAATTCAGGACATTGCCTCACGGCAAGCCACGATTTGGTACTGCACATTACTGTACTGTGCTGCGGAAGCGACCAGTGTGCATTCAGGTCGCTTGGCGTTGGCCCTGCTGCCAGTGCCTCTTCCCAACGCGCAATCTGAGTGTCCTTTCCTCTGATACTGAGGCCGCGTTGTAGAAACTTTGGTAGCCGCCCATTGGTGGTATTTGAAGCCAGAAAAGGCAGACCGAAATTATAACAACTGGTTAAGTTTCTCTAACCATTGGCTTCAACAAAAGCCAACGAACAGGTGGCAATAGGACGACAAGCAGCACCCCGCAGGCTCGGCGGTCGGCATTGGGATGCTCCAGGCAATGGTCACTGCTGCGAAAGCAAAACCCACGGGGTGCAACTGGCAGAATAAACCTCTCCCAAGGAGTGCTTCCGCCTGGAGGGATATCCTTCAGCCCGACACGTATACTGGCCAAGTGTATACAAAACGCTCTTATCATTGTTCCCGCTTACAATGCCCATGACCGCCGAATTCAACTTGCCGTTAGCTTCATGATACAAGCCGAAGCGCAGTATCTCAGTTTTGTGCACTTCGCACCAAAATCCTGAAACCAAGACCAATTTGTGGGGGATGGGCGATGAGAGCAAAACAAGGCAGTTGGTGGTCATTGGGCGCCCGTTTAATAGGCTTCCCGCTGACCGCAAAGCCCGCCAAGCGGCCCCATGAAAGGAAGGCGTTGACAATGTTTAAGATCGTCTCAAGCGTTCGGAAGATGCCTTGGGGGGTCGCTTTCAAATGCAATCCGTGACCCAAAGGACCCAAGCTGTTAAGGAACGGACCAACCGACGAAGAATTTTGGCAGGCGGTACTTTCCATAGTGGCTGTTCCGTCCACAGCACTCGCCCACGTTCCCGTATCAAAAATTAATTTACTAACTTTGGATAGAGAGATAGGGGCGAAGCTTGAAAGGAGCCAATTTTCAGCCCATTTACAACATGTCAGACTGGGCACCCGTACAATAGTAAAAATATGGCATTTGTCTTTACGGAAGTTGATTGCTGGATATCGCCTTTTAAACACGATCCATGCTCTTGGAAGGGTTCTGGCAATTGGCACCTCCCAAGAGTGGCAAAATGGGCTGGTGGGGCAATCGATCGGGGGATGGCGACGCTGCAAGCACAGGCTGCATATCCAGGGCAGGACCGTCACAATTGCAATGGACCCGGTCCAGGGACCTTGGGCCTCGAGGCCCTCACACTCCGCACTTGCGCAGCGCCCAATTGTTGTGGTCCGGCACAGGGGATCAACCAACCCGCTATGAGTCGCTTTTTTGCACCTTCCTTTTCCTTGTCCCGACTGATGGAGAGCCAATTTGCGGCTGCAACAGTCTGCACAATTTAAATTGTCAATGGCTTTCCTACTCAGTGCCCCTTCAATACTTTGCGCACTTCTACTGTTGTCGTAGCTCTGCTCCAGCGTCCATCTGGGTATGCAGGGCACTCCCGCCAGCGTCAAACTGTGTAGATTGGATACATTCGTGGCAAGCAGGATGGTCATGCATGCACGGTTTCTTTCCTGGGACGTGGGCGATGTCGGGCCAAGGCCAGAAAATCTACTGGGGGTCTCTTTTATTGTTGAGGTTTGGTTGAGCAACAGTTGGGGAGTTTCCCTGGACAGGGCTGGATGCCAACTCTCAGCTTACTTTCCTTTTCTCAATCTAGCTCTGAACGTACTCCCTTTCCCGTTGGGTTGCTGACTGAAGACGCAACAAAGGCCGCATAAGTCATACCCTATGCTGACATGCCTACGTTTTCAAGCACCGCTGGCAAACGCGCATGACGAGCTGTAAATCGCGCAATTCAGCAGGTTGTTTTCCACCAACACAGTCCTGAATTTATCATCGCTCATGTTAGTCAGCTGGTAGCTGACAACAGGCTAACATGCAAGGGCATCCGGGGCCCCATTTCGCTGAGTGTATATGCCCTTTCAAAGCAGTCAACTGACGTGGACGGGGCCAGCACAGGCAACCACAATCATCCGGGCGCATGGTGCCACTGGCCGCCGTTCGCAAAAGTGGCACCCGAACTGCAAGGGGGCTGTTCTAGCCTGGAAGCAAACACTATTAAAGCAGATTTCTGCCACCAAAGTCCTCCCTCCAGGAAAGCACAAGACGCATCGAAGAACCACACAGCAGGTACCACATGTGTGTCGCCAGTTTGGAACAGCCTGTGCCTATTATCAGGAGAAGCCATGGCAATTGACCATGACAGTCCTCAGACCTTGAAGCCCCTGCTCTGCCTGCGCCCACGTGCCTTTTCAAACTTCCTGCCCTTCGATCGCACATAAGGCCGGGTCTTGGAGTGGGGCACACCAGGCACACCAAAGTGCTTGTGGGCAGTACGGGCGTTCTTTGCACCGCGGAACAATACAGCACCGTCGCCTGTGGGGTGCTGGATGGCAAGCTGGTCGAATGTCATGCACTCGCCACCAGCCTGGCACAACACAACAAACAATGTCATATTGCTCTATCACCAGACAGCTTTCCTGAGCCTTAAGGTGAACGTTGCGGAGACAAGATGCACTGTGGTGGTCCTATGTGCTGAGAAAGCTTGCCATGTGTAGTTTCAACATGCTGTCATGGGTTTTGATAATATTTCTTGCTCTTCTGCTCCTGACCATGGACCATCTCAAACATTGTCAAAATAATATTGTCAACTGCATTTAAAAGACATGGCGATATCAGCAGTCACAAGTTCGATGCTGTCCAGCCGGCTGCAAGGCGCCTTGCAGCAACACCATCCACAAAGCACTTGCGCTGCGCGGCAGAAGTGTAGATGCCTGAGAATGGATTACAAACACTACTTGAAGTGTCGTTTGGCAGCAACTTCCTGATAGAGCAGCATCATGAGGCACTGACCTTGATTATCCTTGCTCTGGCCATCTCTGTGAAGTGCAAAGCACAGACCCTCATTTTGGGGACTTCTTGCATGCGGTTGTCGTCTGTCACAGTCCCAACAGTGACAGCGATTTTGTTCTGCGGGTAGACAGAAGAAATTCAGCACTTTCCATATTGTTGTGTAGCAGCAGAGCAATTGCAAGCTGCTCGCTTTGCTGCAGCCTGCTTCATGGTAACCCAGGTGTGACCATGGTCATGCAGGATATATGCCCTTGCAGAATGGCACAGCTGGAGATGTAAAAATGCAAATTGGCATCAATAGTGAATGAACGTCAGGTGTTGCAACTTGTCGCCTGCACAAATTCCTTAGGGTATATTACGAGGAGTATGTCAAGACACCTTGAGCAATTCAAGGTGGTTGTTCACAGCATGTCCACTTCCCCAGCATCATGTTACCTTTGAGTCAATAGCTGCAAATCCCACTGAAAGCAGCATTTTTACTGAGCCAAGAATGAACAAAGGGGAAGGCACTATAAAAGCGCCGCTACGGCTTCAACTGTCATCAACGTGTTTCTTGCACGCCTAAGACAGCCGCCTCTTGGTGGCTGGTGGCTGCTGCGGTGTCGCTGACCACCGTCAACAGCACTCACCGAGTCCTTCATGAAAGTTGCAAGCCGCCTGAGGCCCAACGGCGGCCTGTTTGTCCTGGACATCATCAGCCTGTGCAGCACCTTGGCGTTGAACTCCCCGCCCGCGCGCCTCGCCAGGTACCGATACAACTGCCGCCACAAGAGCGCCAAAGATGCTCAGTCGTGGAACAAAGTCGGGGCCCAGACAGCGCCCACCCAGAAGCCAACCGACAACACAAGGAGCTGGCACCTGTGCGCTGCAAAGCGCACTCAGTGCCGCTTGCCTTGGCGCCAAAGACACGCGCATTCGGCTCTTCCATGGCGCAGTGAGCCTGTCAAGAGTAGACAGAGCACCCCGTGGTTTCAGCGCCGCCGTGGCCGAGTGCTGGTCTCAATTGGGCTTCCGGCATGTTTTTCCTCGCTTTCTCGCCTTTCTGAGATCAACCCGTCACTCAAAGGCGTCAACCACAAGCAGCGTTCGCCGCCGCCTCAGCTGTGAACACCGCGGAACGCCGCCCGGAGCCTAGAGCCCACCGAGGCGAAAACGGCCGCAGTGCAAGTCCACTTTCGATGACCGATTTGCAAACCGTGGAAGAAGCTTGCGTCTCAGATCATGCGCCCCAAATGCTGTTGGAGGGATCCTCCGCACTCAGGAAACAGATCCTCAGGATTTCCTGGCTTCCAATATTCCAGCTGTTGGCGCAGCGTCCTAATTGCACCCCAACGCTTCGCTGCACACAGTTTGATCCCGCGCCTCCCACAATCTCACCTGCACCAGCAACTTGATGTACACATTTTTGGACTTTGGGGCGGTTCGCTTGGCCTTTTTCCGCCTGCCTCCAGCAATGAGATCGATCCCCTGCGGCGGCCGCGAGCGTCTGTGAGCACGCAGGTTGGTGTCTGGTACGGCTGGCGCGGATGTCTGCACCAGGTGCAGTCCTAAGCAGTGCTGCTCACCATCGCGCCGCTCGGAGCTCTCTTGAACGTGGGCTGTCTCCCGGACAAAGACCCACGGCGACGCACCGAGGCGAACACACCTGCCTGGTGTTGGGAGACCGCCCCACGCGAGGACTTCACGAATCATCAATTAAACGCTCAATCATCAAATAAATGTTCAACGGGTTTATCATCATCCTCGTGGATCAGAACAACGGGGAGACGGGTTTTCTGGCACCGCTGCAGGCGGGCAGCACAGCAACACCGTCGGACTTCTGGAGCGCCGCACGAACCAAGACCGCTTCGGGGTTTCTGTGCCCTCCATTGCTTCTGTTCGTCGTGTCCTTTGACCAACGTCACGCATGCAATGACCATATTACAGTAGTTTACAATCCGACTCACGCCCACATCCGACAAATTAGGCTCAGGATCCGATGCGAGGCAAACAAAAAGATGGGTTGCCACCATCTCCTTGTTATGAATCAACCTGTGGTCGTTCCGTTGGAGCACAGCCCCAATGCCCATCACCATGCATAACTGTTTCGCGCACCTTCAACTCGCCGAAGGTCGCCACGTGGGACAAAGGCATGCATTCTATCCTTTTAAGCTGAAATCATGCACCCCCAGATTCAGTTTTTTCGCGTGGATATCCAATGGGCGAAATTTACCCTTGCACGGGGCGAGCATTGGCAATCCAGTTTTGATTATGCACGTGGACAAGCTGTGCACCATGACGAAAGAACGTGCGCAAAAGTGTTCCGGAAAAGGGAATGGAAGCTACCGCGGGAAACGCCATTCCTCAGTCCTTGAGGTCAGTCCGATTTTGGCTGCGGCGGTTAGATAGCCAGACCTTGCGTTTGTGATTGGCCTCCTCATGAGCAAACAAACACATGGTTCACTAGTTGCAATCACCAGAGGTGAAGAGGATGCGCTGCGTCCGGTTGCCATTTCTTCGCCGCGAAATTAGTAGGAACATGGACCCCAGACAACTCAGCATCTCCTGTTTAAATGGCGATCCCTATACACACCATGCTCTGTCCCGACCACACAGCATACCCAATAATGGGATGCTGGCATACGGCTGGACGGCCGGTGTGCCACCCACACTCTTGTTGGCATGGAGTGTTGCTCGAGGCCTTTGGCGCTGTGTTGCGTTGGAACCCTGGAACCCCATCAGCGAATTATTGGACACTGCCACAAGCTGAAGCTACTAGAATGCCACATACCAAGGCAGCTCTGAGTCCTTGTTCTTCACTGCGACTTCCCATCGGTTCTCTGGACACTTGCCGAAGCTCAAGCAAAGTTCCCAACAATCAACAGTGGGCCCATCTACGCCTTGTACGACTTTGGTTGAATTCCCAACCTGTCCATTCTCCTTTTCAGGAATTCTGCCCTTGTCTTGGCAATTTCGTTGTCAGGTGCGACAGCTAGTGTCCCTTTGTATGCTGTGTATGCTTTCCTGTCACAGAGACATCCACACATGCACAAGTAATCACACACGGATCCCCAAGAGATGCACTTGATGGCAGAACCCTCCATAGCATGGCAATGAACACATCTCACAAAGGATCATGAGAACATCAAGTGCACCACTGAGATTCGTAAAGCACATATTGAAGCAACAAAATACAGGGGATCTGCAGTCTCTCATGCCCATTACTCCTGCCTGCATTAGTGTCCCTAAAACAAATTGCAATTGTGCACAAATCTCTCTACCCAATAAAGGTTGCAAATGCAACTGCATGAATTTGCTAAGAGACATATATCATCAGTACAAAGTAAACAGAGAGCTGATATTCAACGCTGGGTAGGAGGTCCAAACATGTAATGGTGTGACTGCATTGACTAGATAATGGCACAGGTTCCTTACCCCCAGTCCTCTGCTTTCTCATATGCATCCCCAAGGTTGTTCCATGCACTGACATAGCCAGGCTGAAGCTTCACTGCTGTTTCATATTGTTGAATGGCTTCCTCATTCTGCCAAACGATGCACATTTGCAGTCATGGCATGTTCTCCAAAGGAAAAAGCACATGTCCAGACAGGCAAGGGAGCACCTTGCACCTTGCATTGACTGTGCAAAGCCAATAAAGCACATCAGTAACCTGTTACTATGTAGTAGCCATAGTAACCATCAGTAACTGTTCCAGCTATTGCTCCACAGAAAATCGCAGGCCAGTGGCCAATAACAACATGAACACATGTGCCAACTACTGTGTCAGTATGTCACTTCCTGTGTTCGTAAAGCACAGGAGCATTGGCACAGTAGATTTAAAAGTTGGCGATAGTGCCTGACAGCCGTACCTTCTCCAGGTTGAAATAGGCATAGCCAAGAGCATTGTGCACCTGCCCAGTGACAAATTGTCATGAGACTTCATTCTGTCAAGTCAATTCAAAGGGACAGGGAGTGGAAAGCAAGGTGTGAACAATTGATGCACAGAACAGTGCTGCTTTTGTTCACCACAGATGTGCTGTTCACCAGTCTGATGCATGGTACTGTGAGACTATGAACCAGCCCTGATACATATTCAAATTATAGACTGTTGTTGACGATCTCAAAACACGCCGTGGTTGCATGACACTATGCATGAGAGCATACCAAGAAATTCAGTTGATTGCTGACAATGTTGTGAAACACATTCAAGAACTTGCCAGAATCATCAACCATGTAACGTGTGGCGATGCAGATAATATCATCAGAACTTTTGGCACTGACGACTGATATGCCTGATGTCTCTCAGTCTGAGCCCAAATAAGCCAGGGGCTGGTCCATTGCTTAGCTTAATGAGGTTTCACAGTTTCACATCCACAGATGCCCACACAGCAAGGCTCTCTGAATTTTTGTCACTGTCGCTGGAAATATTGAGCGTGCCAATCGACATTGGGTCCACAGGAAGCACTCTCTGGTGCACAGCAATTGCAGCCACAAGGATGCCACTAAGCTCCAAAATAATGGACGTGTGCTGGCATTAGCAGGCGCTAGGCTGCCAGTGTCTGCATCACCACAAGTCACAATTGGCAAAGATAAAAACCGTTTTAGTGCCCAGATATCAGGACTGCATAGTAAAGAATCATATCTCAAAGGAGCACCTGGACCTCTGAAAACTGGCAACGCCATGTTGCATGCAGCTTGTCACAATTCAAATCGTTGAGGACCGCTCTGATTTCTGTGCATGTGATCCTTGCAATTCACCTGAGCAATTTCGGTTCCCTCACCATCCCACACTTCGATGGCTTTCTCCAAATTCTTGGTTGCCTGCGTGAAAAGCTTCTTCCGCAGCAAAACTGCTCCAAGCTCAAAGTACTCCTGCAATGTACATGGTGCTCCCATTCTCATGTGCCTCCTTTACAGCTGTGCACTTTCCACAATATAAAGAAGCGACTTACAAACATTTCTGCTCAGGAGAAGGGCACCCATTGTGTGACATGTCCTTTTATCACAGAATATTCCAGCTTGCCATGGTGCACTGTGCTGATTGCACAGCGTGCACTCCACACGCTCCCTTCACTGTGCACTGCAAGACTCGGCACAGGGACAGCCACAGCCACATGTAATGTACTAAGAGACGGTAGCCCCCCACAAATAACTTTACACTGTCAACATATCATGAAATAGACACAAAACTCCCTGCTGTCATGGTGCTGTCCATTTGTGTAACAACCACTTCACTGGCAAGAAAATCTTCTTGAAATCGTGTGGACTAAAGCATGTCATCCCTCTCAAGTTACAGGCTTGCCTTTAATCATTATCAGGTAAATGCCACCAACAGATTTCCACAATCCTAGGATTGGTCATCCAATCTCACAATGTGCTCGCCTATGCCTGTCTTAATTTGCAGCAGAACTATCCAATAAGGATGAAATGTGGCATAAATTGTTCCAGACAGGGAGGCTCAGACATCACGCAGCAGGTGTCAAGAGTCTTGACTCAAAATTTATGTGAGCATGGAACAAAGGTGTTGTACTGGAGCACTCCCAGCACAGTGCAACTCCCCAGCAATGGTCTTTCAGACAAATGTGTGTCACATGCCCTCGCTCACTTCGCTGGTGACGTCACCACTTCGTATAGATTCTCCCAGCGCCTTGGCTGACTCATCGAGCTCTCTCCTGATCAGGGCCTGCCTCACAACAACAAAGACCCCTCCGCCTATGAGCGCCACCAGCAGGAGCAAGTACGCCAGCTGAACTGGTGCCTCAAGCCCCTCTGCGACGCTCCCAACTGGCATGAAAGCCATCACGGGTAAGCTGGACAGCCCCAGCTGTGGGAGCGTATGGTGTCTCAACACTTCGAGCAGGTTGCTGGGTTCTGCAAGGAATGCACAAGATACCACATTTCCTCAGCCTTCTTGTGCGTGTCTCTTTCAATGGTTCCTTAGAAACTACCTGGTGAGAGTTTGTATCTCTACGTGCAATGCCGCAGCATGTTCTTACCAGGCCAAAATGGACATGAGCACATTTCAATGATGTTGTGATACTTCCATCATGTGACAACACAACTGCTGCCGTGAAGAGAAAGGCCACAAAGCGAACCTTCACAGAGTCTGGTGCAATAAGATATACTTAGCAAGCGCCGTACATTGCTCCATTCGCTGAACAAATCAGCAAATCGAACAGCCGCGACACAGGCCGCGCTTGATCATTCCCGCGGCCGCCAAGGGCCGACGCGTCGGCTGCATAGCCTCACAACTTCACATTTGAGCTGTTTGTGGCGTATCGATACCTGCAGCGAGAAGGGCGTCCAGTGGGATGGCACGCGTTCTGTACAGCGTCCGTCCATTGGCGTCATGACGCCACTGATGCCCGTGCGCTACTCCTGGGCGCTGACAGAGCAGCCGCCCGTCCAGGGGCCTGCCGAACGCGACCCTCGGCCTTGCGGCCCCGCAGCAGGATCCTGGACAGCAGGACACCATCGCGCCAGCGACTCCCCACAGAGAGATTCTCCCCTGGCGGATGGTTGCGCTGGTCATTAGGGTGGAAGGCCACGCAAGGGACCCGCAAGGCTGCCATTCGGTTGGCATGCATGCAACAATGTTGCATTGTCAATGCACGCTTTGGTGCTCATTTCGAATTTCGGTTGGTGCAATGAAACCCAAACCCACATAACTTGTTGACGTCCGAATAAGGGAAGGCGCGATGTCGATTTTGTTACCCTTGTACGAAATGTTTCTCTTTTGTAACAAATCTAAAACCCCTTGTCGCGGCCCTGTCGGCGGCGGCTGGTTTCCGGAGGCGTTGGGGTCGCCCTACCCTGCAACAGTTGTTGGAGGTCACCCGGCCTCTCCACCATGGATGTTGGGCGTATCTAGGGCAGACATTTCTTTGGTCGTGCAGTAGGCATAACGCTTGATGAGGATCGATCCCTAGGGTCTCCTATATGCGAGAGGTGGCGACACAATGAGGTGGTGGTTTGCTAGTTTGCGGGAGGCTAAAGAGTGGGCCAAAATCGAGTTACATAGTTCAATACATGCGCGCACATATCTGCATACACGATGCCCGATCACGAGTATATCGCTGGCATATCAAGATAAGACAACTCACATCGTATGAGTCACATCCGCGTCCAGGCTCATTATCACCATTCCATTCCACCCACAATCGACCGGCCTTTTCTCCTGACACCTTGGCTATGCCCCCGTCTAAAGCCCTTAAGTACAAAAGTCATAACGTCCTTAATTCCTAACTGATTGGGATGTTTCAAAAGCCCAGAGGAGCTAAACAACATGCACATAAGGTCGATTTATAAAGATTACTGATTTACAATCTAGAAAATGCTGATAATGCCTAACCCCACATGTCCACATCAAACCCCCTCCCCCTCGGCTTGAGTTCTCTTCACTATGCTATGAACTCTATTGCAGAGGTGGTGAAGGCAAATGGGCCTCTAGTAGGTTAAACTTGGGATGATACTGTTGTGGTGGGGACTTCGGTTTCCAGGGGTCAATTGACCTTTGATGGTGGCCTTGCATCTACCATCAAAGCCAATTTGTAGCACCACATCCGCAACCTCTATAGCTCCACCAAGAAGGTCCTGGTGGATGCTTGCTATATAGCTGGTATGTGTGGGAAATCCCATGACACAAAGCTAAATCTCATCATGCAATTGATGGTGCATTACAAGGCAAAATCAGTGGCAGCGGTCCTGATTGCCCCTCAGGTGGTGCAGAAGCCCGTGGGGCTCATGGAGACTGCACGCCCATCCACGGACCTAGTGCGGGGCTTTATCACCCACCCCGCTTCTAGCCCAAGTCACCAATTGCCCTTGCTTAGTGTTGTTGCGCCTTTTTGCCCCCTTGCTACCTTAGACTCTCTAGATGTTGCGGCGTTGCCATCCCGGGCCACCTCTAGAAGTGGGAGCTTGGCCCCAAACTTTGCAAGTGGCTTTCCAAGGTGGCTAAATATGAGTGGCCATACCAATTCTGGGTTGTTGAGCACTGGTGGATTGTCTTTCCAATTGTTTCTAGGGTCGGTGTCTCTAATGTAGCCCATTTGCATTTTTCTTGATGTTTCTCGCTTTTGGGGGCTCTCCATTTGGTTTAGGTTGTTGTTGTCTCTCTTGGCGATTTTTTTGCGGGTCCACTTACCTTAAATACTGTAGGTAAATACTGAGCACGATCTATGGACCAACATTGTGCTGTTTTGTTTTCCTGCACAAGGTTTGTGTTGTTTTAGGGCTTCCTCCTATAGCGCCTAAAAATTTGGTGGAAAAGAAGGGTTTTGTGACGTGGCCGCTTAGGGTAAGGCAGTTATTGACGTTTTCTGGAGTTGGAATTAGTAATCTTTGCAAATCAATCTTTTGCGTGTTATTTAGAGCTTTCTGGTTCCAACGAGCTTTTAAACGCCCGATTCCATTAAGAAACGGTAAAGATATGGCCTCCTGAAGTCGTAGTACTTGGGGTCAGGGGGTTCGGGTGTTAGATGCTGGGAATTAGAGGACATTAGGTCGATCGTAGGTGAACGGTGGACGGTGACATTGTGCCTGGACGCGCATGTGTGTTGTTTTGTCTTGATGTGACAGCGATGGACCCGCGATCGGGCATCGCGCATGCGGATTTGTGCGCGCGCATGCTATGAATCGTGTAATTGTTCTGGCCCACTCTCTGGCCTTCCGCGAGCCAGCGAACCACTGCCTAGCTGCGCCGCCACCTCTCACCGACAGCAGGCCCCGGGGATCGATCCCCATCGAGCATTGGGCCCACCGTGCGACCACCAAATCGACTGCCCCAGATACGCCCACCGTCCGAGGTGGAGAGAGCCGGTTGACCTCCAACACCCGAGCCGCAAGGCAGGGTGACCCCCACGCCTCCGGAAACCAGCGGCCGCCAACGGGGCTGCAATAGGTTTCGCCTCGACACTTTGTAATGCCATTTTAACACCCCACCCACCCACCCACCCACCCCCCTCCCTTGGTGGCTCTGTATCATCTTTTCATTAAATAGAAAAGAGCCTAACATATAGTTGCCTAGGAGGGGGTGCCCTTTGTATGACTTTTTCCTTTTTAGGCTTTGTAACAACCCCTTCCCGCACCCACTGCTAGCATCCCGATCGCATGTCGATGTTGGGATGACTCAACAACATTACTTAATAGTGGAACACAGTTTCTAGTTGTTTTTAGAACAAAAAGCACTCAGATTTGTACAAATTTTGACTAGCCTATAAAAGGATATTAAAAGCCATTTTAGGGCAGCTTCAATAGCTGTAAATTGCCGCATTCTAAGGATTCCCTTGATGACTGAATATATCAGGGAAGTTTATGTACAAGTCACGAGTGTTTTGGTGCTGACCAACAGCGCTTTTAGGCAAATTCCCACCTTATATCGATTTTGTTGCAATTACATAATCTTTTAGTGTCACGGGTCTGGGCCCCACCCTCAAATTGAAGCTAAGGTTAACAGATTGGAGTTAGTATCTTCCCTAAGGGAAGACAATATCTTGATTTGGCAAACCTTTGGACGCTTGTCTGAAGAGGCGGCTTGCATGCAGGTCACACAAAGGCAGCTTCCGAGGCCCCTGCACCATTTTGGCGCTCTGGCTGGCAAGCATGTCATTAGTCACTGAGATGAGCACAATGAGATGAACAACAGGCCATCCATGAAGATGGCATTGAGGGAGTGGAACGTGCTATCCTACAAACACCATAAGTCATAAAATCATTTCAACATGCATATTCCATTGATCGGTAAACTACGCTCATAGCGGCTGCACAACAACTAGTTGTAATTGTGGTTGTAACTGTGGCACCGTTGACTTTATTTTCCTATCGAATTGGAAACAATAATGCACGATATTTCAGAGCAGTAATATACTGGGATAGTTCAGCCAAAAACAAATGCACCGAATTTCACGCTGCCAAAGCAAATGCTGCGCGATGTCATTGCAAAGGAACAAATATGGTTTCAAAATTCAACGGCAATATCTGCACCGGTAGTACCGGTACACCGGTCCGGTACAAGCGAGATGGAACGGACAAAATGCTGATTTGCTAAACTATATTTTTTGGGTGCGATTTTGCACCGCAAGGAGGCAAAACGGATGCTCCCAAGCGAGGTTCTCACATGCACAGGGAGCACAAAAGCTCATGGGCATCTTTGCTTCGTTCTCCCAACGTAATTAAACTGGTTTCCATGAAACGTGGTTCAGTTGTGCCCCTGCTTGAAGGATGCAAGCACTAGGAAAAAGGGCCAAATAACACGTGTTCAAATGTGTACAAAGGTCATGTGTTTGGGTTATTTTCGTGTTTTCAGCATGCAAAACACTGATCAAATGCATATATATGTTTTCGCGAAAAGTGCTGTTTGGTCCTTTTTTGCTAGTGAAGGGGGTCGCTCTTTCGGACCGGTGAACTTCGCGCTGCTGTTCAACTGCATACTCACTCCGACGCTCACCCAGCTCCAAGCATGGAGATTTGAAAAGGGGTCTGTGCCGTTATAACTGTGGCACAAATTGGCCATTGCAGCCAATTGACCGGGCGCCGGCGGATCCAGAATGCTGATCTTCGGGAGACCCCCTGGCTTTGGGAGGGTCATGCTGGGCTCGGCGCTGTGCTTGTCCACGGGCTGCCTTTTCCCGCCCACGGCACAGACCGTCATGAGTGAGTGAACTCACCCACTCACGACGATCCGCGTCGTGGGGGCTACTGTGGTCTATTCCACACATCAGCATCAGAAAATCGTACCGTTACGCTTTTTGCTCCGCTTTCTTTGTCAGAGCATCATTTTTGACATTTTTTACGTTGCTCTGCCAAAAAAAATAAAAGGGCGTTATGTTTCATGGTTTCCACCGCAAAAAATGGCCAAGCCTTACGTTGTTATGTGGAAGGGTTGAATATACTATGGTACGAAACATCCTGCGGGCAGCCGCAACACCGATGCCAATGCGATCAGCGTGGTGAAATGCCGCGCCTGCCAGCAGCCAATTTCCCTGCGCGATCGCCTTCCAGCATGGTGGGCATGCTTTCTCCCACGCGGGGTCTGGGTGCCCAGGACCTGCATAGAGATAGCGAGCCCGCCCAGGCAGTCATGCTGGGCGCCCCGCCAGGTTGTGTGTGAGCGTGACCCTTCCTTGGCATCCTTGCTGCCATGGGCGGCCACTGATGGCAGCTCCCCCTCCTGATGCTCCTTGGCGAGCATGTACGTATGCACCAAGGGGTCTGTGTGTCAGGGGAGCAATTGATGCGGGAGCTTCGTTGCTCCCACGGGCGCATAGGTCGGATGAACGGGGAGTCGAAATCCCCGGGCGGTTACTACATTTGTACATTATACAAGATTGTTTTTAATTGCTCCGTTCATTGTCCCATGTCCTTTGTAACCACCCCAGGGCCAGTTTACCCAACTCAGACCTATTTAGGGTAATCAAATACATCTAACTCCACTACAGAAGCAACCGTATCAGCAATGAGGAATTCAACATCGGG